GAGAGAGAGAGAGAGAGAGAGAGAGAGAGAACACAAAGGACTCACCGCGATATCCCGACGAATGAGGACTTTCCTCACCTATTGTTGACGGATAAAAGATGGCAGGCACGAAGGTCAATATATGTATATATATATATATATATATATATATATATATATATATATATAGAGAGAGAGAGAGAGAGAGAGAGAGAGATAGATAGATAGAGAGAGAGAGAGAGAGAGAGAGAGATGCGATGGTGGCCGACGGAGAACCCTTGACGGGGACGTCTGTAGTCGGGGGTCCTTCACACGTGGGAGGAAGCTTGTTGGATGCGAAGACGGTTGTCAAGTCTCCCAGGTCGAACGGACGACCGCTCAACATGGAACGACCAACCTGCCACGCAAAAATCCTCCCTAGCAGGACCTGGTAGCGTTTCCACAACGTGCCCACCATCGAGGAACGAACACGGGTCCAAACTTGTCCGAAAACCAGCGCGCAAAAGAATAAAATTTCAATTTTTAATCGTTTTGGGAATCGATGTCGAGCCTGCTGGGACTCCCACTTTCTTTGGGAACAGGCTAAAACTCATAATTTCCCAACACTGGCAGAGGTACTGTTGGTTTAAGAAGAAAAAATAAGAAGCTCAGATGCAGTGGGGCTGATAAGGTGGTGTATAGGTGCGCCCGTAGGCAATGTAGGTACCGGGGACCATGTGTGAGTATGTGTATACAATAGGTATGTTACATCCAAACCTGCAACTTGTAGTATAAAACTAGGATAACCTACCATGTATGCTAGATGCAACTGAAAGATGGGGGAGATCATCAGAGCAACCAGTAGCCAACATCCTCAAGTGAACCTGCGTAGGTAGAATCCGACATAGAGCAACCCGGACTAACCATTGGGTGGTGCGCATGCAGTGTTTCTAATAGCTTACCTGCGTCACCCCAAGGGGGTGTGCAAGTGACCATGCGTTACATAAATGCCTTTCGGTGTCTTCCGCACAGAGGTGCGAAGTTTTGAAACCATGACCTCATACCACAATGTGCATTAAACCACCAGTACCTCGCCCAACTATCAGAAGAAAAAAACACCAAAAAACAAATAACATTCTGCAAAAAATAAATTAAAAAAAGGAAAATCAGACATGCCCAATGAGAATGAATCTTTCACGACAACGTGAAAGATTCATTCTCGTTGGAAGAGAGAGAGAGAGAGAGAG